ATTGGTCTAAATTCCCTATAGTACGGGGTCCTATATTTAGGTTCCTATTATAATACGGTTCCCTATATAAATTTCCCCCATTTTGGGAACAGTAATTTAGGGAAACTACCATATGTATATGCATATAACTTTAAGCCCTAAACTCATATGTGTATATATATATACACATAGAGGGAGAGGCCTTAATGAAGTTACCATCATCCCGTATGGTCACTATTACTGGGTGGGTGCTAGGCCTAATGGTAAGCCCACGAGGCCATGAACATCCCACAAGGACGGTGGCCAGAATGACGTTTAGGGTGCAGGGTTTAGGGTCCCCCTGCAGAAGCCGTGATGCGTAGCATTCTAGCTTGGCATATAATGTTTCGTCATAGACAGTGCGCTCATATCTTCCTCTTCGTTCTAGTACTCCATAGGAACAGTACAGACCCGCAACTCTCATGGAATTCCTGAGGCTCCAAATCCTTGCCCTCTGCCAAAATAACATGGACACCCAACACCAGGCAGTGCAAAAGGTCCGTGTCTTGTAAAAGGCCGTCAATGCCAGTTTGGGGAGAGCAAGCCAACTGTAGAAGTGTAAATAATCCCCTTGTAATCCTTATACCTAAACCCTAAACCCCTGTAGTACCTTACTCCGCGGTTGAGGGGTTCAGGGAGTGCTAGACATCTGGATGGATGAGCATTACCCTAAGGCTCCAAATAGCCTAATGTAGGTCATAGGTTTAGACTGTGGGGTCCAATGTCGGTCATGTTTTTAGACTTTGGCGTCCAATGTAGGTCATTATTTGTAGACTGTGGGCAGTGTTAGCAAAAGAAGCCAATTTCATGCAACTGCGAAACGGCTTGTACAGGTCAATGACGTGAACTTTGCAGAAATCCTGAAGACCCCCCTTCCAGGAATCCCGAACAGGAAAACAGAGGTAGGCTTGCTTTAGGGTTCAGGGCTTTTGGGTTTAGGGTCCAACCCAAAACCCTTAAAAATCTCCCCCCCAACTGCGACGGTCGCTGATTCCCCTTCAAACCCCGCACAGCCTAATGAATACAAACCCAAAAGCACACAAAGAGCTTCAAGACACAACGCTTGACCCCAAACCCTATACCCTAAGGGTCCAAATACCTAATAATTATATACTCACACAAAGTCTGTACTACAATTGCTATTATCCAAAACCCAAGTACCTAATCATTGGGTACATGAACCCTAAACCCTAAACCCTATATATCCTCATTAAAAGGGACCTAATTATTGGGTATTTGGACACTCTCTAAGGCCTGCACCCCTAAACCCATCACCCTAACCAAGGGCAAATGCGTAGTTCCTGTTTGGGTTTTTGACCACTTGGGTTGAGGGTCTAGGGTTTAGGGTTTAGTGGATTATAGTAGATTTCCCAAAGAGGAACTACACTGTTTTGGGCGGTTGTAGGGGTCGAGGTTTAGGGTTTACGATGTAGGGTTTAGCGTTTATAGGGTGTGTACTAGGTATATCTCCTGAAGCTTCTACCGAACCCTAAACACTAAAGCCGTGCTATCAGGAAGCCAGAAAACCTGCTGCTGAATGAGGCCGGGCAGCTGAAGCTGACGGAAGCGGCCTCAGTTTCCCTCTACCCTGAGCACACCGTTTAGGCTTCAGGATTTGTAGGGTCGAGGGCTTAGGTTGGATTTCTGATTTCCCTTAACCCTAACCCAAAAAGGTCGCAAGTGCCTAGGCACTTCCCGCTAATATTCAGACCCCCTACTCCCCCATGGGAATGTTTAATGTTCGGGCGTAGGAGGCTTTCAATATCAGGGGGGAGAATGGTTATGTAAACAACATCCTGCACTGAAAGCCGTCCCGCGGCTGTAGATTTTGGATTGAGAGTCCTCCTGCTCTACTGTTGTCCTGTAGAAGCCCAAAAAATCGTCTCCACTAGGCACCATGGACAAGTTGTAGAGTTTGGGATCAGGGGCTTGGGATCTAGGGTTTTAGTACGGTTGAGAATTTACTGGTTAGGGTGCCTGCTCTTCTGAGGGGTTGCCAAGGGCTTGGGAGTCAGAGTCTCTCTGCAAAGACAGGCATTTTT